GGGGGGGTTGTGAGGAGTGAACTTTATTTATTCGCTTCGTTACGTGATTGAACGGTTAGGGAAAAGAAAGCCAGACATTGCAGAAAGCCTATAACCTAGATTACAAAGTTATTTCTTCTCAGTAGGTTACCTAGACTTTTGAGAAATTTGAAGTTAAAATGTTTTTCTTTCACATAACCAGGCGCGGTTCATTCACTGGGCAAGACCGGGGGTGCCGGTCGGTTTTTGTCGGCTGTACAGTGGAGAAGAGATTCATAGATCTAGCTGACAAAATTTAGTTTCAAGTAATTACACATTAATATCCAATCAACCTATACTCGGCCGATTTGAAGGCGCTCTGAGAAACAATAGTGGTTGTTTGGTGTGTTGTCGCTCTACAAAGACTTGTTCCTTCATCTTTTGTTTATAACGCCGGCTCGTACGTTTAATCGCCCTTCGCAATGAGAAATTTATCTGCACACACATACACACAGATCCACACACACACAGATGCCCGTCAGTGACGTCAGCCTCCGGGCGAATTCAGCTTTTGGCCAGCTTTTGGCCAGCTTTTGGCCAGCTTTTGACCAGCTTTTGACCAGCTTTTGACCAGGAAGGTAAAAAGACGGCTTCTACCTGCCAATTGGCCTCTCTGTTACTTACAAAGGAAGGACACGTCTGCAGCACTAATACCTATTATATTACATACTTTTACCAGTTACATTCATCATTCAACCAGTCCCTTATTACTACTTGTACATCAATTGTTAGTATAATTATTTCTATTGCTTTTTAAGCCACCCATGGTTCTGTTTTGTGTTCTCTTCGTCCCCTACTTCCCGGAGTTCCCTTACTTGGTCAGGACCCTGGACCGGCGATCCTTCGTTCCGCCCAGTAATGTTATAGAGGGAATTTTGACGAGGAGAGGGAAGCGCCACGTTCGGCTGTCAGGGTCTGGGCCTAAAACAATACACCCTCTTCCTCCCCCGCCCCTTTTCCCTTTCCCTCTTTCCACCTTTACCCCAGCTAGACTCACATTTCTAAAATTAGCATTCGACACAGTTCTCTTAGAGCAGTGATCTGAGAGCAGAGAAGAGCAAAGAAGAGAAGAACATTTGAATTGGACCGGAAATTGTGGGCTAAATTTGTTCAATGTGTACGTGGTTGTGAGTCTAG